CAAAATAAACAAAAAAAGCTTATGGTGGTGAAAGAGGACGGAGGGAGGGAGAATAAAATCCCAAATAAAAATCTTGTTTACAAAATATCGATCTGTAGATCAGCAAGAATGTGTTATTAGATACATTGTGTAGAAACTGACCAATGGTCATCCAGCCAAAAGATCGTAAAGCAGGGGTTCCCCAAAGGGGGTTAGGAAAATGTAAATTTCCTAACAAATTAATGGTCCTTCGTCTGCATAACAATAGTTATTAAAATAACTTGCCTTTATGCTTTCCTCCTACAACCCAAACAAACCACCAGAGGTTTAATATTCACTAGTATGAGTCAGCAAGTAGCTCATGTATTATACATTCTATTGGGCAATGCATAAATGAAAAGAGAAACAAGAAGGTTAATTGCGAAATTTTTACTTATTCAAAGTAAAAATTGTTCTCATATAAAAATAAATAATATATACATTGTACATATACATTTGTACAACAAGATAATAACGAATGAAAAACATGAAACGATAATACAATACTACAGAATACAATAGCTTGGCCTCGGAAGGGGTCAACTAAGCCACCAGGAAAGATGTAATGAAATAAATCTTTCCTACCCCTGTTTCCAAAACAAATGTTTATAATCATCCTTTCTTCTGTAAACCCAATCCAGACCCTCATACATGTCTTGGATAAAATCAATTATAAAACACAAAATTACCTTTAATTGTACCATTTATCTTATTAAATGATACAAAGCAACGCTACAAAAATAGGTACCAGTTGGTAAAAGAAGGATTGGTAGAAGTACGAGTTTGTAAAAGTACGAGTTGGTTGAGTACGAGTTGTCGACGGTACCAGTCGTCGTATACCCATACAAACAACAACATTTACAACATTATGATTCCTTTGAAAAAATCAGATCAAATCAACACTATAGCATGATACTGTATCTGGTTTTAAGCTTCCATCACACAGGTCTTTTCAACCCGGTTGCAGATCCAGGATTTTGAAAAAAAGGTGGATAGGGTCCACTGGCAAGCCACCGTTTGGATTGTTACTTGTACAAAAGCCCATTAATTTGTCATATGCGTAGCTCCATCAGGGGATTGGACTCCTTGTTTCCCTTAAACGCCTTTGCATCATATTTGAACAATTATCACCGAGAGCTAAAACTGTAAAATGAATGTGGGTATTTAAATCTCGTGCTGCATTGTTTTGCAATGTGTCCACTGTGCCTCCACCCATGCCATTACAACTCACACTATATTGCGCTAAATTAATCCCGGTTGTAACATTATGTCGTTTGTAAAAGGTCGAGTGAGACTTGAAATACAGCTGTGTCCTAGTTTCGAAACCTGATAAGTACATGTAAACATGTAAAAAATGTCAATATGTAGTACGATGAGAACGAACAATCGAAACAACTTCCGGTGAAGCTTGTATAAATTCCGACATTCGACAGTTATGGATTAGTTCTCCTCTTATATTTGATGTGTTTCCCTCAGTTAGTTTGTAACCCGGATTTGTTTTTTTCTCAATCGATTTATGAATTTCGAACAGCGGTATACTACTGTTGCCTTTATTTATAGTTAAAACACAAACGATGTTTAAAAAAAGTATAAATAGAAATAATCGTAAACGCTTTTGTTGCGGAATACACTGCTACATAATGTTCCTATAATGTTTGCGATATATTTTTTATATTCAATGTTCGTGTACATATATACCCAAGATGGCGATAGAGCTCCAATTATCATCAATATTTCATCAGTTCAAACAATTATGCAAGAACGAACACATGAATAGAAATAATCTAGAGCCTTCCTCAAATATATCCAATCATTTTGACTGTGTAAAAGTCCAAATGACGAATAAAAATTTATAAAATCCCAAATAAAAATCTTGTTTACAAAATATCGATCTGTAGATCAGCAAGAATGTGTAATTAGATACATTGTGTAGAAACTGACCAATGGTCATCCAGCCAAAAGATCGTAAAGCAGGGGTTCCCCAAAGGGGGTTAGGAAAATGTAAATTTCCATAAAAAATTAATGGTTTCCTTCGTCTGCATAAAAATAGTTATTAAAATAACTTGCCAATATTGGAAATTTCTAATTACATTTAAATATAAAAGAGAGAAGATGTGGTATGATTGCCAATTTAAAGTCCATTTAAAGTATTGAATTACGTTTTTGATAAACTATAAATCAAGTTTTACCTTGCAGGTTTATACCAGTCTTATTAATACATTCATTGTAATTTTGTGTAGAAAATAGTTAAAAGGTAAACGTTAAAATAAATAAGAAGATGCGGTATGAGTGCCAATTAGACAACTCTCCATTCATGATGAATTATTAGTGATCACGATAAACGCGATCTGTTTTCCGACTTTTGCGTGTTATTAAATAATTTTTGAATTTGATTTGTCAAACATAACTTTAAATCGTCAGAGATATTTAACATAATAATAGAAGGTTCGAATCTGTAAACGATATTACTATACAGACTTCCGTAAAAGTTATGGGCCCCTTATGACTCCAACAGATTTATCAAGAAAGAACAGTTGAAATCGACGTGATATGATTTTTGCGGGTACCACCAGAAATTTGTTGACTGATACGATATATCGGAGTCTCATCTTAATAGTGACATGTTTTCGTTGTCTCAGTTGTTTGCTTGAGCGAGGATTCACATGTCGCTTGATGCATGCACAAAGTAGACAACACGATTTCACCTTTTTTTTTACAGTTTAAGTAATTCTAACAGTTCTTGTTTGTTTTCTTTGAACATCGATAAAATGCTGTCGACTTAGTTAACCTTGCTTGATCTTAATCGATGAAATACTAAGGATTTTCTACCCCAGGAATAGATTACCTTAGCTGTATTTGGCAAAACTTTTAAGAATTTGGGGTCCTAAATGCTCTTCAAATTCGTACTTTATTAGGCCTTTTTGAAATTTTTTATTTGAACGTCACTGATGAGTCTTTTGTAGACGAAACGCAACTCTGGCGTACAAAATTTCAATCCTGGTATCTCTGATGAGTTTATATATAGAATTTAAAGAACGGTAGATTATTATGACCGTAATTCATTAGTCATTATTTTGGTAATCAGTTGGCCAATGTATTACGTTTTCCTCAAAAAATGTATTTTAAAAGCACAATATTTAGTCTGAATATACACGAGTTAATAAGTTGATGAATAAAGGCAACAGTAGTATACCGCTGTTCAAAAGTCATAAATCGATTAAGAGAAAACAATTCCGGGTAACAAACTGAAACCGAGGGAAACACATCAACTATAAGAGGAAAACAACGGAAATAAAGAAACACTGAACTGCAACAAAAACAAACGCCAACATACATAGAAACGGACTATTTGATAACAACTGCCATATTCCTGACTTGGTACAGGACATTTTAAGAACCAATGGTGGATTAAACCTGGTTTTATGGCTAGCCAAACCTCCCGCTTATATGGCAATGTTAAAAATACCACTAAAATGACAGGAATACAGTACAAACAGCAAACAAACGCAAGAACACTCAGCACAGAGAAATACATAAATAAATAATATAATAGTACATTACAACATGTAAACCGCAGAATAACAACGGACACCTTCCATGAATTTACGACAGCATATGACATCACAACGAAGTAAAAACTGCATCACATTAATGAATCAACGCCACAAAAAGTGACGTAATTTTGTGACGTCACAGGTAAATTTTTAAAAATGAAATAGATTGGTTGTATTCATAACGTACACGTACAAGAATAGTATATTAGGATAGTGTTAGTAATGGTGTTATTTTATGTATAATCTAACCATGACAAGAATATTGAAATGGAATTGTGTTTGTAATGGTGTTATTATTTGTATTTTCCTACCATGTCGGTTTTCCTTCTAAATCAAAACAGTATATAAGCAAATAAATCTTGTGCATATAGTTGCTTTAAACTTAAAATCATATCAATAAAATATGGCTTACACTACTGCAAATTTTACATAGAAATATTTATTATTATACAGAAACTAAGGTTTCAACTCCCTCAGGCAAGGTTGACCTTATAAAAAAAAAGAACTTTCGCAATAGGACATGAACATTGTCAAATGTAAAAAAGTAATGTGTATATGTTTCTTTTGTTTCTGTACAGACGATGCACCATTCTATTTCTCTATATTTACATTTCATAAGTAAAGTATTTATTCCTAGAATTGAATGGATTAATTAAGTCGCCGAAACGGAGTTTTGGAGACTTTATGTTTTTGTCCCGTTTCTTCTTTATTATTATTATTATCATTATCATTATTATTATTATTATTATTATTATTATTAGTAGTAGTATAAGTAGTAGTATTCTTAACCTTAAACCTGTCCAACCATTTTCTTCCAAGCCTTAAATGATGGAAACTTTATATTTGGTATGATGTTGGGGTAGTATCCCTAGCATCCTACATTTTTTTTAATTTAACTATTTTCTTTTAAGTTCACTATAATTGTATTTTATTAGATCGTGAATTTGCAGAAATAAAGATATAATAAAATATAATAAAAAGTCAATGTGAAAATGTTGAATAGCTTATGAGTGACAAAAGACATAATACCCATAGTGTTTCTTGTTCGTTTAGATTAATTTTAGGCTGACCACAGTTACAAATATGACCATATGGAATTCGGTTTTAAACAGTTTTACATCAATTTGATGAAATATTTTTTTGTAGTGCTTCTCTTTTGTATACTTATTTTCAAAACGGAAGAGTATGATTACGTTATGGGTTTAAGTCTTATTGTTTTTTTAAACCGTTGTCGTATATTGTCTTTTGTAGTTTAAATTATTTCACCTTCGATTCCATTCTTTATATCTGCACAGTGTTACTCTGGTAACTTTTAACGAATTTCTGAACAGATTCTTTTTGTTAAACTTTTGAAGGTTTGTATAGGTCCTCGATTTAATTAATTATCTCACCAACAGGAGTTTAATTTTTTATTGAAATTTGTTTTAGGATCCAGTCAGTTTATAACATGGCACAGGTCACTGCATGGTCAGTTATTATTTTTATAATCAGTTCAATAATATATGCAAGAGGACAAAAAAGTGAGTATACGTTTTATTCAAACTAATGTATTTGCTTTGTAATGATAGAATATCTGTTGAAAATAAAATTTGGAAATGAATAGTGAAAATTGCAAATGAATTCAAGAATTCAAGGTCACTGTTAAAAACAACAAAAATAAGAATTAAATTAAGGCACGCGCAATCATATACAAAAATGAAGTATTATATATATGTTACAATCGACAACATATGAAATGTGCTCAGAACTCATTAAAGATACCCGGATTATAAGTTTGCACGCTAGACACATGATTTGTATATAAAAAATCATCAAAACAGTTGGAAGGTCAAATCAAATACAAAGCTGAACAACATTAAAAACTAAAAAATCCAAAAGGTTGTGCCGAATACACCTAAGGTGATGTATGCTTTGGGGTTGAAAAACCTTTTTTAAAATTTCTAGAATCATTCAAAGAAAATACAAACACTAACGAAAACCGACCGTCTGCGAGTGGTTATAGGCAAAGTAGGATGTCTTGGTCGGAAATGTTTAACATTGAATTCAGTGGGATAATGTGAACCACTTCCTACGTATGTTTCGTATGATTATGAAATTCCAAAATTCCAAACTGCATGCTTAAAATCATAAATCCTTTATAATCAATGATATTACTACCTGATCGAAAGTTATTCTAATGACAGAACATTATAATCATTAGAAACACAAATAACTGGAACTGTTCAATGATGTCACGCTCCCCACGAGGACGCTGTCAAGTGTTAGCTCGCAAGAAAACGTACTGGTGAATAGTTTCAAACAGACAAAACTAAAATTAAAAAGAAAATTTACCATATCATTTTAATATTTCTTTCCCAAAAAGCAAGAGTTGGCATAAGCAAGCTATAGGTGTTTCGTGTTAAATTAGTTTTTAATGTTGCTATGTGAATTCCTCGCCTATACAGCTTTTTTTTCTACTGGCTCTATACGTCAATAGAATCCACCAATTTATCGTACATTTCTGCAGCTGCTCCAAAAAACGGTTTTTGAAAGAATTGGAAGGAAATCTTTTTAGTCAATAAAAACAATACGGTTTGGGGCACATTTTAAAATTTATGATTTCATAAAAACTGTTAGAGTAGACTTTCAGTACCTAATATTTCACAACCATACAGTGAGATGTAACTAGTGACAAACATGTTGAACAAGCAATCAAGACTTATACTTTTTCGACACATACTGAATATATCATTTCTAATTCTATTCTTAATATAAGATCCATGATTTGTTAAGAGTATTCCCAAACATGTAAATCATTTATGTATCAATCCTTGTTTATCAATTTGTTTTATATTTTTGTTAAATAATAGTTTGTTTTTGAAGAATTGATTTCAAAATTCTACGTTTCTAATACAAGTTCATAACGTTCAGTGCTGCTTGTAATTCGACCTTATATTCTGTAAGAATTTCAATTCATTTAAATACGATACGTTCTTACCGATGTACATAATTGTTGATTTCGCTACCGTTATCATAAGCCGAGTTAATTTGCTTTTATTCTCGCTTTTCCATTTCACAAGCACGGTAGTAATTGATATTGAAAAAAAACCTGTATGCGTGGATTTCTTTCATGATTATGTTTTATCGAAAAGTCACTGTAACGTAAAGAGTTTCTGGAAACGATAATTAGTTGCGAATGGTTTGATCTAAATAAACTTGCTATTACCCCCTCCTGCATATTCTCATTGTCAGGATTTGGTTTGTCTCCTTGGTGCTTTCCAGGTCTATTGGTTCTTCAGAGTTTGTTTCGCGTTTTTTTATTTCAATTACGTTATTTCTCAAGCATCGCTGAAGAGACATTTATTATCAACTTGCGCATCTGGTGCATTAAAAAAAAAAACACCGTTTATGTAATTAAAGTTTACTTAGACGATTCAAAGACACTTCTATTTTAAAAAGAAAAAAAAGTAAAATTATAGATATGATAAAGATATATGACAATGAATAATAGATATTAACCACGGTTTGTTGTAGGGTTCGTGTTGCTGATTCTTTATTTTTGTGGACATTAGCTTTTCCCATAATGTTGTCAGTTTATCTTTGAGTTTTTAATTGTATATATGGCCTCTTTTGTTTTGAAAGGTCACCTTTTGCCAATGGATTAGTTCAAAATTTTTGGTTTTGGGTTTATCCTTTTTATTTCCCGCCTATTTTGATATCCTTGGCAATGAAAACATCATGAAAAAAGCATATTTTGATGTACGTAGTCAATTATGAATTTTAATTACATAATCACTTAGTTTTTGCAATAATTTGATACCATCAATGTGAAAAGCACTAACACAGTCATATAGCACACTAAACACAGTGGTTCGTTTACTAGCTTTGTATAGGGCAGAAATACAGTTTGTTCTACATACCATGTAGGAGCTGTTACCCTATTGTTCAACTAAAATTTCCTAGATGTTCACTATACAGTCTGATAGATACTCTCAGCATAGATACAAGGATTCAAAATTTGTACACCCGACGTGCGTTTCGTTTACAAAAAACTCATCTATTACGCTCAAATAAAAAAAGTTGAAAAGCCAAATAACGTTCGAAGTTGAAGGGTATCGAGGACCCAAAAGTCCGAAAGGTTTAGCTAAATACAGCTAAGGTAGCTATTCCTGGGGTGGAAAATCCTTAGTTTTTAGAAAAATTCTAAATTTGTAAAGAGTAAATTATATCTGTAAAGATATTTTTGTCTAGCTAATTGAAATTGTGCCGTTAAATTATTATCTTGTTAAGAAGAAAAAAAAACCCAAAAATCCAAGTTTTCCACATCCTGTCATTAACATTAAGAACATATGTTGCAGGCATGTGTAACAAATGCCAGGAGTTTTTAAACCATTAATTTGAAGTAATCTGGTATTGTTTACTGTACATTCTTTTTGTGGAAAATATTGCTAGTATGAATAGCATCCAAACCCTAATTAACAAACTCTACATTAAAATGACTGGTTTTTTTCATTATCTTTGGCAGTAATTGTCATGGGTTGTAATATCCTGAGATTAGCAATTTCCATAAACATGACTTATTTTGATAGCACAAAATGGGTTCATTAATGAATTTTGTTTTTATTTGCATTTAATGTGGATGATGTTTCCGCAAATCCTTCACTTCTCAAAACAAACCAAAATAACAAATTCATATTTTGAAATCAACATTCCAAAAAAAGATACATTTTTATGTCAAATGAAAAAAGTCAAATACTATCAGATAATTTTTAAATGGGCAAATGGACAAATTACCAATTGTTGAATTGAAACTAATGTTTATTTAAACATATTTATCATTTTATTATTTATTTTTTCAAGATTATTACTTTTATCATGCGTTATGAATTTTCTTTTTATTTTATTAACTCAACCTTTACACTAATTTCCCCCATATAAACAGATGTACTAAAATGTGAGAAAATGATTTCTTATGGAGGTTGCTAAAATTGCTCAAGATATTTTCTTTAATAAAAAGTACATGGCTAATGAAAACAGAAGAAAACTATACATTTTTCATTTGTCGAGACTGTGTTGGAAAAATCAAAGAAAGGAAAGTATATGCTCTCTGTTTAATTTCTAAATGAAAGAAATGCGTTATTTTTTGTCTTATTCTATGGTTTAGTCTGAGGGGATTGAAGACGTGGTAAAGTTTAGACAATTGCATATTGTAAAAACTTCTATGTTGACCTTCAGATGTGTTTCGGTGTTTTTGTCGTGACACTTATTTCCTGTTTTATACATTAAATCTTTTAGCAGAAATTAAAATGTGTGAGCAAATTTTACCTAAAGTCTCAAAGGAAAAACGTACAAAAAAAAAAATAATAATTATTCTGTAAGGACAACAACTAGATCCTATAAGGAGTAGACAAACGATTTTAATAATCACGGCTTATCTTGAAACAGATACTATGTAAACATTAGTGTTACGGTCACCATCACCAATTATTTACCGATACGATATATTGGTATCTCAACTACAAGCAATACCGATTGTGTCCTATAACCGATTGTGACATGTACACTGAGTGTTGATTCACCCGGTGGGGGATACTTGGATAGAAGGGGATGCTTACTCTTTCGACGCACCCGGTCACGCTCCTTTTGGAGTTCATGCTATTACATTGATTTGTCTTCGTAATCGATTTATTATTTTTGATATTAGTACTGTAGTCGATATCTTTGAAGATCTAGTCCTCTTTTGCATGTTTGCTGTTTACGGTTTCACTTCATCTACCATAGCTTTCTTGAAAAATTAAACCAAATATATATATAAATATAAATAGCACCATTAAAGAGCAGTAGCTTGAAGATTCAGCCATGTGATATAATATATTAGTAAACTAGTTCGGCTGATACATTTTGCTATATGCTGTTTGTTTTTACATATATAACACATTTTCCGTAAAAACACAACACTTGCTAAAAATTGTCTTTGGCTCTGATAAAGACTAAAATGACAATTTCGGCCATATTGACTTGTTATTAGATCTTTTCCTTATTGCTCAATATCGCTTCATACAGTTTATCTGGATCTACTCTTTTAGTGTTCCATTTAGTAATCTGTGAAATGTTTGTTTATTGCTTTGAGATTATTTTTTTTTGGGCTGTTATGGTTTTTATTTCGACTTATGCTTTTTGATCCATTGTACATTATAAATGTCTTCGATTTTTGATCTCTTTTACCTTATAACTGTCTTTCTTTTAATAAATGTCTGGACGTTGATTGTAGGGTGTTGTTAACAATACAAAATAGTTATCTTTATATATTCGTTAACTTACCAGAAATTCTATATTAAATGAAAACAAATAAAAAATTTTCGTTTCGTACATTGGTAAATTCGTTACCTTTTTTAGAAGTTAACACAAGTGTTCTTTTAGAATAGTGCCAGTTTAAAAAGAGAGAGTGAGAATGATTTGATATAGACTTTCAACATGACCTATACATATACATATACAGACGTATAATGTTCCGCAATTGGCCCGAAAACACAGTTATTTC